GGGGGGGGGGGGGGAATAACGGTTGAGTATTGACCCAAAAAGTGGGCGAGTCCGGTCGTTCGATGGCAGCGTGGCAACGATTACGGGAGGTAGAGGATAGAGGGATAAACTCCACCGCATCAACGGCACCCACCGTTTGGCGCCGCGCCCTGTGCAACGCCTCATGGCCAAGTGCTTAAGGCCAAATACAACGAGCGGGGACCTACAACAACCGAAGCATGAGCGGAGCTAACGCCAGAGAAACACACAAAACCGGTCGCCCCGGTGGTCTAGTGGGTACCCTCGCAACCTGCTAAGGGCCAGGTCATGGGTTCGAGTCCCGACAGAGTGAGTTTTTTCTCGCTAATTAAATCCTGGTCTCCATTGGAAGCGACGCGCTGCAAAGCTCGTTGTTAGTAAACTTGATCGACTTCATAAGTCGCGAGGGAAGGGATTGCTGTACCCTTCTCGCGATAAAAACATCTCAAGCAGGAACCGCAGGAGAGGGTCCAACCCCCCCCTCCCATGTGACCCCGGTTGGGTCGTCTAGCTGGTGGAAGTGGAGGATAGGGGCCAGAGGGGCAGACGACAGAGTCCAATGATGGGAGAAAAAAAAGCAAACAAACAGCACGCGAAACAAAAGCAAACGACGTCTGGCCTACCACCTGCTGCTGTAGCCCCATCGCGCCGGCGGCCCCGGCCCCGAAAGCTGTCCCACTAAGCGCAGCTTCGAGGGCAGCGTTCGCGGCAGCAGAGGGCGATTGGGCAGCGACGCCTGTCATCCCCGTGGACATCGCCCCCCCCATCCCCGTGCCGGACATGCCTGGCAGGGTGACGTGATTCATCATGCCTGAGGAAGAGACGAAAAAATGGAACGAACCGGGATAGGCAGCAATGGGCCTACTTGGTGGACAAGCGCGACGTCCGCTTGCACGAGCAAGCAAACGACTAACCTCGCCGATAAAACAAAAACGCGCAATCTCAAGGGCGGGCTTAACAAAAAAGGCGATACCGTCAAAATAGCACGAGATCTTCGCCAGCGGTGTTGTAAGGAAAATAATATAGATGCTTAGTTCCACGAAAAGTTAGATGCGTCGCCAGATTTCGACCCAAAAGACAAGCAAAGAGTGCAGGCTGCGCCCCCCCCCCCCCCCCCCCCCCCCCCCCCCCCCCCCCCCCCC